CTCTCTCTCTCTCTCTCTCTCTCTCTCTCTCTCTCTCTCCTCCTCTTACCTTCACACTCCCTCTGCCGTTTCTTTTGTTGGAGGGATTAAACATAGATGGCACAATAGACGGAACGGACTGGACTAGCATTGATATCTCTTTTTACATATTTTTCACCACTTTTGCGCAATCTCTTTTTTTATGCATAGATATATTTATTATAGGTGGAGAGGATTATTCTTATTGTCGGGGCGTTGGCGGGATAAAATAGAGTTAGAGGAATTATGGATAATAATGCTTTCCTGTTACCTGTATCTCAGCCTTTTTTTTCTTCTTTTCTTTTCTTCCCTTTTTCCTTCTGATGGCTCTTCTCGTGAATTATTATTATTCAAGGTGTTTTGTGCGCGTGGTCCGCCCTGGCATCATGCTGAGAGGGGAATCCCGGAATTCCCGGTACCTGGGTTTGGCTTGGGTGTCAGACTGCATGTGGGCGGGTCCGGGAGAGTGGCAGGCGTGAAGGGGGTTGTTCTCGCTGCTGGGTGTGTGTGTATAGTGATTTTGCGTGCTGTTTGGGAGAGATATCACATTGATGTCAGGAAGGAATACGGTATCCCCACATGGGGAGAGAGCCTTTCCCCCAATAAACTCTGCTTGAAGAGCACTAGTACCAGTGCAGTGCTGTATCGTACAGTATGATACTGTACCCACCAGAAGGGTATTTTTATTTTATTTTTATTTTGGGGGGGGGAGGACTCCACTTGTGCTGACTTGCATATTACCGGTATAATCTCCTAGCATTGGAATGATCGGCCCTCGAGAGTTTTGGCCAGCATGCCCTCCCTGAAAGAGGAGAGAGAGAGAGAGAGAGCCAACCTTTTTACATTTCTCTCTCTCTGACCAGGATAATTATTTCTATTCGGTCTTCGTATCCGTTCGCTCTCGTTTTGGGATATGCCAGGTTCCTGCGGCCAAGAGTTCAGAAATGGATTTTCTTCTTCCCCCTGCTCTCTCTCTCTCTCTCTGTCTCTCTCCCCCCCTAGACGACGAAAATCTCTCCTCGGACAAGCACTCTATCGTATGTACCCAGGTCCTCGTGGCACCACATCCGCCCGCACGGTTACCGTACTCTACAGTACAGTGCTGTGGGTATGATACCGGCACCGGTAGACTAAGCGCTGGCTTGAGCTTTCCTGGTTCCTTCCCTTTCTTCCCCTCCCCTTCCCATCGTCAAGACTAGCATCCACACCACCACCACCACCAACACCACCGCCACTGCTATTGCAGACTTCATAACATACTGCGGTGAAGTATACCCCACGGTGTTTTGAGCCATGGTTCTGTTACTTCGCTTTCTGCGGATGCCGCGGCCAACGGTTTGTCGCGTTTTCTCCACCTTTTTGCCCTTTGATCCTGATCTCGTTTAGCATTTTCTTGGACTCTTGGATCTCCAGCACGGAGCCGAGCTCATTCTTGTCTGTGCTCTTTTCAACAAGATATCCGGTTTGTACGGTATTATAGCCATGCTCATAGGTACTCTACTCCCTCCCTCCCTCCCCCCTGACCCCGCCTCCCCATCTGACTCGACGCCCGGTGCAGGGGCCGAGATATCCACGCTGCAACTATCAATGTACTTTTACTCCCTTTTCATGTTCGGAGCCCTAATCTATACCCTCCCAAAACTCCACCAACGGAATCCCCTGGCCGCCATCTCGTTTGCATACCTGTACCTGGCCGATTCCCTCATAAACGCCCTCTACACCCTCCTCTTTGGCATCTCCTGGTTCTTGGTCTTGGCCTCGAAGTACAACTCTGCCATCCACCCGGTAAAGTCTGCCGGCGAGACGATGGACAGCACGGCTGGTTTCACATCCCCGGAATTCAACGCTTCCGAGGCGGACGTTGTCACGTACCCGAGCGCATCGGGCCAAGACGCGGTGGTCATCGGCAGCGCTGAGGGAACCTCATTCTTGCCGTCTGGCGTGCTGCAGCCGGGGGACTCGGCCAGCATTCTCATCATTTCGGTGATATGGCTGATCAGGGTTTACTTTGTCATCATTGTCATGGCGTTCGCGAGGGAGGTTGTCAGGGGCAGCGCTACCCCCGGGGAAGCGCCCTTCACGGGCAGGAATTATGGGGAGGGGTGGCAAGGGGCCCTGGGGAGGACGTTGGTGTCGTGTAATAGAGGGTATTGGGAGGGGAAGAGTGGGTGGATCCCATTCGGCTCAAAGTTTAGGAGGAGCGTGGAGCCTGAGGATGATGGAAGGAGGAGGAGGGAGAGGAGGGATTCTAGCGAGGGGAGGTCCTTGCCTGTTTGATTGAATGGGGAATATGGGGGAGGAGGGAGCCGGGAGATGGATTTTTGAAAATATGCGAATACCAGCATCGACACTGCCATGCAGGACGGATAAATATCATACCGAATGCGTGTGGGCGAACAAAAGGAATAAGCAAAAAAATTGTCATCACTATCGCTACCCTTAGCCGCACCAAGTACGGTCATATCTATGTGTCGCCTTTTTTTTTTTTGTCTACTATTTCCTTGGCCTATCGCTTTGTTTTTGCCCTCAATTGTGCCTTTTGCTTATGCCAGGAGTCGTTAAGGAGTGGGGATTGGGGGGGTCTTCACTGACTATGTACTGTGTCATGTTCTCGATAAGGCATTATTATCGCATCCGTGTAATGTTTTATTTTGTTTTTTCTTCAAGACGAAGATGGGACCGGTTGGAGGGACGTGAGTGCCTCGGACAGTTAGGTGGATGGGATGGGATGGGATCGGATGGGGTGGACTGGGTGTATATCCTCGGTGTAAAATACTGAGGGATGGGGGAATAGTGGTAGGATGGTATGAAGTGGGAATCGCTTTTACCGGATGATCGGGTAGCCGGTGAATTGCGCGATGGGAATTGGTTTCCTTTCCGACTCTTGATACCTGCGTGAGTGCTCGGGCGCTCACTCAATTACCCACCCTCTCGGAAGCGAGGGCCTCTCCGCGCAGCTCCCGTCAAGCAGACCTGCGAAGTCTGTACCCTACTACGAACGATCCATCCATCCACTCACCTATTCTCACTCGCACGCAGGGTTTCAGGCAGTAAATCCGCGAAATTCCCTCCCACGCCTCTCAGTTTCTCGCACCGGGGGAGATTGGGAAAGCCAGGCCGGTGGCTTCACCCCTACAAGACGTGCACATTCCCCGAATTGACCCCTTTGAGCCCTCATGAACCGCATCTGGATCCCCACACCCCTCAGGTTTGACCAATCGTGAGGAGTAAGGAAAGGGGGGGGAGGTGGACCAAGTCGCGTTCGGTATGCAGAAAAACCTTTACACTTGCCGTTAGGCAGCGCGCCGTCGCGGGTTAAGCAAAACAGCGGGGGAAAACAAGGCGGAGCAAGCGTCTCCCCAATACACATCTGGCTGGCAAGGCTGTGGTATCATAAATTAGCACTCGCGTGGTGACGTGTGGAGATTTCATATTGTGACGCGGTGAACCACCGTTGAATTGGAAGAGGGTTTTGGAAATCTTGCGTTCTTTATATTTATCTCATTTTCATTTGACCCTGCACTGTGCAGTACCATACCAGTGAAAACCTGACCTTTCGGGCTCTTTTTGCACTGAAAAGCCGGAAAATTCCTGACACCCTTGGCAGCACGAAATAAAATGAGAGATAAAAAATATAAATTACGATACGAGGTGTGATTCAGTCCGCCTTTATATATGTAGGTAACTACACGATAAGAAATTATGTTATTATTATCATTTTAGCAGCCATCTGAATCTGTTGGAATATGGTCTACTTTATTGTAACGAATTGGAAATTGTAAGATATAAAATAAAATAACATTTATTATACGTAATAATATTTATCATATTATATACTTTTACATGACATTTTCATTCTTAGCGCCAGGCAATCAATCAGTTGATACTTCTTTCGAGGTTCCCCCCCCCCCCGGGAAAATTGCTCATAATTATCCACTCTGGCTTAGGTTTGAATCCTCCCTTATTTTTATTTCTATTTCTATTTTCTTCTTCTCTTTCTCTCATTCACCGCGTCTGAGGTTAGCTACCGTAGTTGGTTAATTTCTATGATGCACTGAACTTTTTTAGAAAATCATTTCCCTATCCATCTGTGACCGCCATCCCATCATACCTTCTTCTTTCAATGGCTACTATAGTCTACCAGGTATCAGTATGATATTTCACAATTTAATTTTTTACCATTTTACCATTTTCCCATCATCATCTTCTTCTGCATCTAAAACTAGCCACTGAGGTCGTTGGTTCCCAAAAGTATTTTCTTACCTGATTACCAACTTGCTGGATATTTACATATATATACTTTAAATTTCTAAGCTGGGTAGCTAAGCAAAAAAACAAATTGTTTGTGGTTGAGGCCTGACAAGTCGGGTTTTTATTTAACTGGTGGTATCTATCATACGATCCTTTTTTATTCTTATTTTTCCCTCTCTTTCGGTATATTAATTGTGGGGTATATTTGGGTATTGCCTCGTCGTGGGCGTGCGTGCGTACATACATACAGATGTGCGAAACCGGGTCGGAAGGAACAGGAAGGGAGAGAAGGAAGAGAGAGAGAGAGAGAGAGAGAGAGAGAGAGAGAGAGAGAGAGAGAGAGAGAGTAA